CATCATGTTAATTCTGAGTATACCTAGGCTATATAATTCGGCCGAATTTGGTAGATTTAAGCATTTTTGTGGTACTTGGAAACAGTTAGTAAGCCTTATGTCTAACCAGACAGTGCGCATTTTAATTTAATTTTAATTGGTTTACGTCGAAAAGGTTTGCAATATTATAGATGGACATCTATTAATTCAGATCTAAATTTTAGGCCTTTTCATCTTGACCATTTTATCGACGATACCCTCTAATGTAAAATAAAAGCAGTGCTTAAGCTCAGTGTACTTATAGGCTCTCAACCACAAAGTTACTTACCTTCTCTAGCTCAATAATAATTGTTTTTCATGGTATCGTATGACGTTTTGTATGGCCTTATAGAGTGAAACTAATAAAAACATGCCACTTTTTTATCCCCTTTGTAGCTACCTTGATAATTTAGATCGAATCTCTATGACTGACTATCTGCCTACATTGCAAGACATCCTTCGTGTCAGAGTTCCGACGACTGGGATAATTGAATACCCATTCGACTTGGATTCCATTATTTTCCGGTAATAAACCGTTAATTTTTTTCTCATTCTTAGACTAAGACATAAAGATACATTTAGAGACTATCTATCAGCTTAATAACTGATCATTTATTCAAAAACAACGATCCTTTAGTGAAGGTGCTAGCATTTGAGTAAATGAGCAAAGAAGACAATAAAAAAATCACATCATATCGAGAGTAGATTTTTCTCTTTTTTTCTCGACATTACTTTTTAAAAAGTTTGATATACTTTTCTCTTTGCTAGCATATATATTTTTCTCCACTTGGGAGTTGAAAAAATATTTAGTGATCGCAAACCCTAGTTCTTCACCCATTGTCACTTCCTTGGCGTAGCAAGCCTTTTTAGGCATCCTATCGCCGTGATTAGAGCTAACTGTATAATTTAAACCCTTGTTTTACACGGAGTCCATATGCTTAGTTTGCCCTGATATCAATAGACCCGCATCTAATAAATATTCTCTCTTATTCTTTACCTCAGTTAA